CCAGATTGTTGGGGGTGATATGCTGACTCTCTGTAAACCGCTTAGAGAGGCCTGAAAGGCCTATGAAGCGGTATATAAGTCTACTGCTATTGCTATTGCAGGAGGCCATCCAGGCTGAAAACGGGGTGTCGAGGGTGCTCTCCCATCCCGTTTTGGTTGCCAGAGGCACAGCAGACCAGTCCTTTGATATTTCCAGGCCAGCCCCGCAAGCCGGATTTAGGCACCCTGCGGGCCGGATCCACCCTACGGGTCTTGAGTTTGACACTCTTGCTCTACCCTCTGATGCAAAAGAAAAGGAAATCATTGAGTTTTATGATCAAATTCAAATTGACATTGATAAGAGATGAGAAAACATCAATTTGATTAAGCTATGGAGCTTTTTCTGACACCTGAAACTATAAATGATTTGCAGGGACTAGTAATGAAACTCAACAAGCACAGTAAAAATTTGATACTAAGATTAAAGAAGATTAAAGAAGTACAGGTATAACAACCAGGCTTCGAAATGACATTGAAGATACTGAAGCGAGGGCTAGCTTCTGCCTTTTAAGATCAACTATCAATGGTAAAAGAACAATATTGTATACTACACTAGTACTTTGCAAAGTAACAATGATGGCATTAGAAAATATAGTTGCATGCCACAGTGTGTCTTTTGTACAAAAAAATCATGCAGAAAATAGTTCTTATTTGGTTGCACTACATAGGCTAAATTTGGAATTTGAAGAAGCAGGATAGAAAAATTAGTGACACTTTTCAATATCGATTTGTAGAAGACTCAAAAGTACCAAGATAGCCAAGAATCCAATGAATCACAGAATAAATCAAGACTATTCTCACTTGAGGAACAAATATAAAATCTTACACAATATTCTATTGTAAGCCAGTCACACATCTGGTGGGACCCAGAAAGGCTTTCTCTATGGTCGCTCTTTCCCTTTGGAACTTCATCTCTGCAGAGATTAGACCAGCCTCCACTTTGACATTCTTTTGCAAGGTCCTGAACATCTGGTTTGCCAACGAGTCTGGGGAACCCAAAGTAGGATGGAGCCCATCAAGTGGCTCGCTTGATTGCTTGTCACTGTATGTGTCAGCTCCTCTTCATTTACTAATTAGGAAAGAATGACCACGAGTCTCCATGTGTGGAAATCAAGTGTACTTTTACTAATTAAAAATGATTA